ATACACACACACACACACACACACACACACACATATATAGAGTACGATATGATTCTTGTGATTGACATTGTTCATAAAAGTATACAGCTATAAAAACCATAAGGCCAAGGAACATACCATCCGTTTGACCTCCTCGATAGCCTGTCCAAAGCACGTCGCCTGGAAACCCGAGCAGATGTAAGACTGTAACAATTTGTGATAGTCAAGCTCACCTTTGAATTCATAACCCTTAATAACTATCGCATCGGTTGGCATGGGCTCACTTTGTACCAATACCGCATTCTGAGCCAATTCAGGCACACCTTCCTTTGCCTCACTTACTGACATGTTTATCACGTGTGTGCTGTGGTTTGTGGATTGTACATGTATATCTAGTTCAATTTGAGATGACTTGTATACGGGTTCGATTGATGCGAAAGACTGTTTCACTTTTTGACAATCGAAATTACCCAAATATAACTAGCACATACGCTGCTATGATAGTATACTATATATAAATAACACGGCCCTCTGGATCAGGGTCTCGCTAAATCTACGATTTCCTAGAGAGGGAACTTGATTTTCGCCTCGAGACCTTTTTTTATTTTATCTCACTACTCACTACTGTCGACGGCCGGGTGTAAACAAAAGAGCGATGTAAAAATATGTAAATAAATATAAGAATATTTTACAAGGTAGCCCGCCAAATGATAGCTTGCCCAAATACAGACAGCACGTGTACTATTTTCTAGAAATAATTGTTTACTGGAAAGCCGGGAAAATATCCCCCTCCAACCACAAGCCCTGGATTAGCGGAATCATTTTGGGTTTGCGAAATCGAAGCTAAAATAAATAGCATGTACAATCACCTGAAAACAAAAGTATAAAGCTATACGGGTTTAAACACTATACACACAGTACACACACACAGAACTAAATACGTTCGAGATATTTAGCGAGATAAAATGTATAAACCTGTCTTTAATGCAACGAATGAGTGGCAGGAATTGCCCGAGGGGATGTCCATCCCGGGCGGCTGTCACGTACGAATGGATATCACAACTGGAAAACAGTCTGTGAAGTTAGATAGTGACAAGCATAACAACAAAGCACTCGTCGTCCAGGAGACACCTCCTACTGATAAAGAAACAAGCGGGAAAGTCGATACTAAAAAGGTAGTGGATCTATTGAACAAGAATGCAGGATTGCAGAAAGATATTAGTGAGACTGCTGGTACAAATGCTGAGCTACGGTCTGACAAACCTACAAGCTGGAAAGGCCTACTGGAATGGTCTATGAAGTATAAGGATGGGACAGCAGACTCTGAATTCTCTCCTCTTGATGATGAGGTATGTACGTAATCCTTCATATGATAACAACCACTAGTCTCAATCATTACCTGTATCTTTGTTCATGTTTGTATGATAAGTCTGTGATGAATTTACATACCCCCTTAGATTAGTTATGTACGCACACACAAAACACACACACACACACACACGAATACACACACACGAATACACACACACACACACACACACACACACACACACACACACAACAACACACACACACACACACACACACAC